CCTATATATTTTGCTTGAGTGTGTAGTATAAAAAAGTTAATACACATTGAATGAAGATTTGGCGATAGCTATTAAAATATTTACATTATGACAATTTTCTAAGCTGCACGAAATAATTCTGTTTACTCACCAAAGTAATTTATAGTTGAAGGGTAAACTGTAAGTACTAAGCCACCAGCATTACCCAGTTTACCGCTCATCGCATTTTCTCTTAATACCGATTCTACCTCAATACCCGTTATGTCAGGGTCAGAAGTGACAATTTCTATATTTGCAATAATGCTCCCATCTGCAAATGACAAAACTTTGCAACCCGATGATCCAATTATGGAAGACAAACTATGTTGGACCTAATTTAATGAGATCAAATATAATAATACTAATTTTAATAATATCATTTATATAATAAAATTATAAAAAAAAATCACACATTTATTATCCAGCTGTATTAAACTTTAATTTAGTGTTTATTTGCAAGAAATTGTCATTGAAAATCTCAATCGGATTATTACGTCTAATAACCCACATAAGTGGAATTTTCAGTTTTAGAATAGCTGCTGCTATAGTTTGTATAAAGTTTATAATACATAAAGGAGTCTAATATTTCCATTTCCATATTCAATGTAGGGCAAGCTCCATATACTTACGACACTGCATACGAATGATTCAGTTTCCTGAAACCTTTCTGAAGTTGGGTCTTCCAGGTGGCTTGTGTAGCTTACTAGATTACCATTTATCCCGGTTAAGGTCAAACCAATTGAGAACACGTTGACAGCTTTAAAATAAGTAAATATTTAAATAAACCGTTATGTACAGAATATGTTTCAAATAATGTTCCAATGTATTAATGAACTTGTAGTATTTAAGATACGGTACCGTCTGAGGGAAAATCGGACAAAATCCTAAAGGATCATTAATAATTTTTACTGCTCATTAAAAATGTCAAATAGATTATAAACTTGTGAGAGCAGCTTAGCTCAGTCGGCTAATTTGGTGGTAGCCACTGTGTGTGCGTTAAACCGGGGAGATCTCATACGTCCCCGGTTCAATTCCCATCGCTGCCTCTGCTTGAGTTACAGCTGGAGGGTTAAAATACAAGTTACAATAGCGGACCGCCTTAGCTTTGGGATGAAATACTGATTATACTGAAAACATTATTCATGGTTATAATATATCAGAAAAACTACCTTGACATAGCTTTACCATATTTAGTTCTGGATAATACTTGTTCTAAATACTTTGAATTTAGAAATCAACCCACAAAATTAATCTCAATCAATCAAACTCAACTTATTTTCATTGAATTATAGAAAATGACCATCTTAATCATAAGTACGTACTGACTTAATTAGAATATAAACCAAATTACAGGACTTATTAAGCTAAAATTTGTTATGATTAAAGTGGCGTGCAAATATTAATTTTAAAGATAGTAAGGCATACTTACTGGTTTTGGAGCTAGTGTTGGAAGGAGGCGGGTAGTATGTAGGCCTATATGGTTGATGGTAAAATTGATAGGACAATTTCGATAAAATCAATTTATTTTCAATGGGTCTGGTTTTAGGTTTGCTTAAAATTAAAACCGAGTACATCATATTCAAGAGCAGTGATCAATGCTTTTATAATGATATTATAAACATAGCATTTACCTGTCAAAACTGTGATTGTAAAAGAGCAATTTGCTGAATTTTCGTCCTTATCCATTGCAGTGTAAAGAACTGTATGAGTACCAACTCCAAAACCATCACCAGGATAAGCTGTTTGAGCCACATCTACATGGCCAGAGTTATCGAAGGCAATTGGTTCTTTCCATGTGACGTTAGTATATGTAAGATCGGAGATTATATAAATATCGATATCCATAGGACAATTCATGAACCAAGGCATCTCGGGATCTTATAAAATGTAGCACACAAAAAATATTATTCTAGTTGGAAATACAATGTTGTAGTACTGTTTTTTGTACAACAGACGCGTTCATCTGATATTATTCTTAATCATATTTGTATTTTAAAAACATTATATTACAAGCCCATATTGTGTAAAAAATATGATTATATATGTTATCATTGTATTTTTTTTGTTAAAAAAAGATTTATAAAAAATGATAACAAGTAAATAGTAATACTATTGTTATAAATTTATAAAAACATATAAAAATTGCAGAATATATTAAAAACTGGTATAAATAAAACACAAAGGTAATGTAAAGAACTTGAAAAAAGTAACTTTAAAGTATTACTTTGAATTTTTTTTTAATGAAGACTCTTTGAATAAAGGTGGGGATTATGCCACGAAGGAGAAAAAAATATATCGCACAATATAATATTTTACTTTTGCTGATAGTACAAAAATGTGAATTGTGACTAACTCAACAACCATAGTGAGTATAACATACTTCACCACTAAAAACAACTGATAATATGCTGATGAAAATTAAATTTATTGGTGTATTATTCTTGACCAGTGCATCTTTTTATACGGTGGACAAACACATCTTGCTTAAACGTCTTTAGAGGAACGTCGACGTAACATGTCCAGCACTTCGTAAATCATACCAATCAAGTACCAAAGCTTATATTTGTCAATGAATCTATTTTTATTTGAAGTTGCGGTGTGTGACAAGGAATCGTTTATTGCTACACTAGTTCAAAATATATACCCCCTTTCTTTATTGAGAAAAAACATGAAATCTGTGTCAAGTTTTGCCGTGGCAATGATTTATTTCTTAACGCTTGTGTACCATCCTTTTGAGAAGATCAAGTTTTAATGGTTTAAGAAGAATTGACATATCTACAAACTTGTTGAATGCATCTGGGGTAACAATGTAAGCGCACAAAGGTCTCTACAATATGCGCCATATAAGTCGACAATTATTATTATTATTATTATTATTATTATTAACGCCGGTGTATTGAAAAATTCTAAGCTATGACAGAACTGGAACAAAATATTATATTGTTCATTATGCTACACATTTCAAATAATTTACAGTATATAATTTTGATCTATTTAGTAAAATGAAAGAATTTACTATTTCTATAGCCATTCACCTCAAAATAATTTAAACTGTTAAAGAATAACTGAAGTGATACTCTCACCTGTTACAGTAACATTGAATGAGCAATCGGCTTGGTTGCCGTATGGATCAGTGGCAATATACACGACTGTGGTGGTTTTTCTTGCAAAACCAGTACCGGGATCGTTTGTAGAACTCAAGGTGACGTTACCCGAATTATCTGTAGCAGTTGGAGCTATCCATGTGGCATTGGTATATGGTCTGTCTCTTATACACATCTAGATGTGTATAAGAGACAGGTGTTGGAAGGAGGCGGGAAGTATGTA